AAAAAGGTCATGAACAACCCTTACGATGAAGGAGAAAATTTCAATTAAAGCCACCACCAACAATCATGCACTCAATAATTAATATGTATATGTATATAACAATGGCTTATACTTGTAATCAAAAACAAGTCTCACAAATTCTATATGTGTAAGCAAGTGACTTATGATTCTCAAAGTAACCGCATTTGTCAGTAGAGACGACAAGGATTAACACAAAAATCCATATTTGCAAATTGAGTCAAATAGTCTAATGTGTATGTACCGTGTACTGTGTTACAAAATTATCAACTAGATGTTCTACGCAAGTAAATAGAGATGGAGGAGGGTTAGCATTTAAGCGAACACAACCAGAACATACCAAATGGATGAAAAAAAGAAAAAAAAAGTTTACATTTCATCTAACCAAAGCAACCCTCTCGCCAATATCTATGCATATAGACAGAAATACTGCTATGGCTTTTGCTTTCTCGTTTGATGCACATTATGAAGATAATTCAATTTTCAGACAAATGGTATAACGGTAAAACCATCATTAAAGGATTTTATTTCTTTTTTTATTTTTTTTTATATTTTTTTATTTTGAGTTTATATAGGCGTACAACTGAATACGTACGCGTGTACGTGTTCGTTTTCTAAGAGAGTTTTATTCGACAACTTATCATCATTTTCTTCATATTATTAGCCCTGTTTGATTTATACTTTTTAGTTAATGATAATTATCATAGAAAATGCCATGATTATCATTAATAGAGAAATAATTCAATTTTCTTTAATGTTCTTATACGTTGTGGAAATACACTGCCAGAAATGGGGAAAAACTGCATCAATTATTAAACAAACTAGACGTGTAGTGTGCTCGAATTAATTTCTCAGTTTTAGTTTTTTCTAATAATCATACACGGATGTTGAGTGTGAGTTTCTTCCACCCACAGAACCTCAAGCTCAAGTTTTATGTTTTCAAAAAAAAAAATCCTATATAAAAAGCAAGGTAGACTCGAATTTCGTTTGGACATCAAACTGGGCTGATTGTAAAGTTGTAAGAAGTACTCGCTTATATTCCCATCATCCAAATGTGGCTCTTGTTTTTAATGAGATCTTTACCTCTCTTTATCTATGTAAATTTTTTGCAGCCGCTGCATTTTCACAGCCTTCACTGAAGGATAAGGATATGCGTTTGGCGAAAGCGTTTGCAACAATCAGAAGCAAGCTCGAGAGATCCTGCAAAAACTCACAATGTTCCTGCGAACTTTTGCAGCCGATTGCTGTACTTTTGCGACCAGAAGAACGTTTATCACAGACAGACAGACAGACAGACAGATAGACGGACAGTAACAGAGGCAGGCTTAAATTGGTTTAGAATTTGATGCTGATCAAGAATATATACACTTCATGCTCTTCATGCTGAAGCTTCTTTTTGGTTGTTACAAAAGTTTCGGCCAAATGAATATATTACTTATCCTTCGGTGATGGGTATAAAAATGCATATATCTGACAATATTCTTGCTTATAACATGCAAACTAATCCTGCTCTCGACGAAAAGTACCATCAGGGCCGTACTGTGTGTACACGTAAATCTGATACTTTACTAGTAATCGCACTCATAATTTTTTGCATACTCGTAAGTATGTCTAAAATAACTTACAAACGATTACAATGAGTCAATGATTCCTAGAGCTTAGCAAGAATAAAACCTTTTCTTTAATCAGTATAATCCCTTTCAAGAGTTACATATAATCAATGCAATCTCTCTACTCATTTCGATGGCTTTAATGCTGCTTTTATAGAGTGATTTGTCCATACGCACAAACTACGCCTCAGTTTAGCCAATGAGCTAATTATTTGGCCCAATTCTTACTCTGATGGAGCACCGTTTTGAGATTTGCAAAGAGTTAATAGTCCGTCGTAGACAGATTTAGAGAATATGCCGTAATTATCAAACATGTTGCACGACATACATGCATAAGACACATATGTAGCGAACGAATGTGCTCCCTACTATCTGCTATTACAATATTATTTATAAACTGGAAGTGGGGAATAGCCGAATATAATTTCTTTCTTAGTTTTGAGAACCAAAGGCCTATGAAAAATCTTGAATCGTATGAGAATTTCATACTATACAATCATTCCTTTGTACTCTTTTGCTCATGAAAGTTTGAAAAATTTAAAGAATGGGTTATGTTAAATTTCCCGGAATAGGATCTAAAAATACCATGCTCTCGGAAGCACAGCCAAAGTAGTTAAATTTGAGTAAACTAGACTTGGATCGAATTCAAAATTCCCTTTGCCCCAAACTAATACACAAAGAGTGATTAAGGTAGCTAGGGCCACTTTTACGCCATTATCTGTTGATATGAGAGTTGGAGTTTTCAGTTTCTTATTGACTTATTTTGCATTTAATAAAATATGAGGTTATGTGTAAAGTTTCTACTCTCTATTTCAAATCGGCGTTCTGGCTTGGAAGACGTATGACATATTGACATGTCAGAGTCGCAAAACTGAAGGTAGGAAGGCTGGAATTTTTGCACAAACACAACTTGATCGATAAGGAATCTAGTGCTTAGAAAATGCTAGCGACCTGCCAACATACAAGCCCATCATAAATGAAAAACTAAATTCGCCTTGAAGAACAGCGATAATTTTCTCATATTTTCTTCTATAAGTTTGGAACCTGTGAGGGTATTTAGGAAAACTTGCTGCCTTATAGTTGGTCAAACTTATCTCCAGATTTGAAAATAGTCCCGATGGGCTTGCAAACGCCTGCACAGTTTACGGTAACATTTTAATTCCCATTTACTTTCAATTTATTTCTAATTTATTCGCAATTGGTTGGAAAAAAGCTAATGTCTGTTGGAATAATTGGGAGATATTCACATGAGTAGCCGACTAAGCAAAAGATAGCGACTAGCAACTCAATAGTCGCGGGTTCAAATCTCAAGTACGCCGTAACTTTTTGAAGACAGGCGAACATATAACATAAGTTATCTGGCAACCTTAAAATTCATACTTTTTTACTTTATATATAAATATATAAAATAAATAAATTGGGAGTAAATTGAAATTAAAATTTTATCGCAAATTGTAGCCATATTAATAAGCCGATCGACATTATTTTCGGACTGAATAGGAAGGTGATCTTGGTAAATATCAACCGGGTTATGGAAAAGATTTTGGTCACTTTCCGAGGTTGTTTCTGTTTCTCCTTTTTGACGAATCTGGCAAACCAACATAAATAGGGGATCACAATGATCCCCTTTTTTGGTAGAAATGCGTATATGTCATCGACATCTCGAAAACTAGACCACGTTGGGAAAAGGTGATTATAGGTACAGATCACATATTTTATAACAGTTTTGTTTAAGATTAAAAATACAATGGTATTCTAGACGTAAAGTCGTCAGTTTGTTTTGTTGAAACACACCAAGGAACAACTCTTTTGTCTCGTTAACACTCGTTAATTATTTAGCAACTTGAACGCAGTAATTCTCGACTAAGGTAATCAGTTGAAGCAGCAACAACTACTCAATGCCAAGTTGTGGGTACGATAGGATCTATTAAACTACAAATTTTTAAATTGTGTGGACAGTTTCAAGAGACTATCTCTTAAAATTTTCCTAGCCTACATCACCTGTGGTGCACGGGTATGCTAGATTAGATAGAGCAGACACTCACAAGGACTTGAAATGGATCCATTTTTCATTACACTGCTCGATTCAGAAAATGATTCCCTCAGCTTCTCTATACGTCTGCCTTTCTTTGTGTTCAACCTACAGAGAATTTTTTGATATATTCCGATAATATCTGAAGGGTATTGTTGATCAGACCACTTCCCACTAAAAATCTTATTTTGAAACGTCTATATGTAGGTAACTGTAGGATGGTATAAGGACTTTAATAGGGGCCATGTCCCACTATGGTGGTTTTACTTGTTTACTTTTATGAAAGTGACTAAGATATTCAAAAGAAATCGTATTTTTATTTGTCCGAAAATATGATTTACATACTAGTTTCCTCTTTTCAAACAAAACAAAGAAGTCCTACCGCAACTTTTCTTCTCGTCCTTTTAATGCCTTCTACAACAGGTTTTTTGGCGGACGACATTAAACCGAATGCCGTAAAAAAGTGTCTATTTTTAATTCGTACGTATATTTGCGTGATTCCTAATTGTAAGATTGTGATTAAATTTAGCAATATACCTCTGTCTCTCTTTCATCGCGTGTATGAAGACAGAGAGACTAAAAAAGTATATGTTCTACCTATTTTTGCAACTGCACTCGCTTTGCCAAAACGAATCGGTTGAACTAAACATGGTTCAGCAATATTCACCGAGCAAGAATTTAATGACAAAACAGGAGAATATTCCATCCTAGCGACAATAAAAATATAATTGCCGTTCGTTTGTTTTTCTTTACCATTCGTCTGTTGCAGTTCTTTGCAGTTCTTTTTCAATTCGCCGAAAAATCAAGATAACTTAATTTCAAAATATTCTTAACATAATTAAATAAAATAAAAGTAATAAAAGAGAGACAAAATATTAAACAGTTATTTTTTATTATCAGAAATCATGTGAGAAATCGAGTTGATGGAATGCTCAGAAAAAAAAAAAAAAAACAAAGAAAAAGAAATTGACAGCCACCCTTGCCAAGTGAATAAATTAACCCCCCGCGCTATTAAAAGGAAGACAGGATTCTGATGAAAATATTCAGTACTCATCGTCGTGTCTTTTATCAGAAATGGTAATCGGATATGTTCAGCTTGGCACATATTTCGCTAATAGAATAATGCGTTAATGCATCTGCCAGAGAACTTTCGAAAACAGCAAATCCGTTTAATGAAAAACAGGAGAGTGTGAGCGTTTTGTGTTACAACAAGCAGTTATCTTTGGCTTTTTATCTAAGCAAACTCGCGAAAAATAGATCAAAAAAACATTATTGTTCTTTTCTTATTACTATTGTTGTTGTTATTGAATTGGTTTAGAGAAAAATGCATTTATACTTACATGGATGCGTGGCAGCAAAAGGATATTCTAGTGTAGGTAAACGAGGCGGATGCGGACCACAAGGATGTAAAGCAGGCGGGCACTGATAACAAAACATGCCTCTACCCGCAGCAGCCGGACCCAACTGTAATATGATCAAATTCAATAAGATGCAATTAAAATAAATTTGTTTTCATTTCAAATTTAATTTCATTTGAAAAAATAAAAAAAAAAAAAACGAAAAAAATCTACAATAATTGATTTAATGAAAATGGAAATAAAGGAGAAAAAAAAAATTAAGTATTCAAATTATATTTATTGACATATTTTTAAATCAATCACGCCAGTACATGAAAATAACTGACTGCGTGTATAAAACATTTAATAATTATTGAATTCAATTCAATTGTTGTGCATTGTGAAAAGTATTATTATGCGCGGCACAATATTAAAACAATTTAAACAAAAAAAAAAAAAAAAAAAAAAAAACAGAAAAAAAATTACATCATAAATAAAGTAAAAAGGGGTCACCATAAATGCATCACAACACAATTTCAGTTTTTTATGCGGGTTGTTGTAAGCGAAAAAGAAAACAAAACCTTCTCTTATTGATCGTTATTACTGCAACGATTGTTGTTTCGTTTAGGTGGGCCAGAAAGTGTTTTCATCGTTCGCGATTGTGATGATATTTTTTGTACTTCTTCACATTTCCGTGTAAGTGGTGACATTGAGATTAGATTATATGGTCTCCATTGTTCAGTAGAAGTCTCGCAAAAAACTGAGAAGCGAGCCTCAATGTTGATTACCTAAGGCCGTTCATATCATTATAAGATGGAAAGCTACTAAGGCTTGAAGTTCATGGTATTATAGATTTGCTTGACCAAGACTTGGTGTACTTAATGTGGATCAAAGCAAAGTAAGGTCAATAAAATCCTCATGTCACTGTTGGATGTAGAAAAGATTAAATTTCTTAGAATTGACATCTAAAAGCTAGTTAGGGTCCTAAGGACTGCACGATACTCATTGTATCAATATTTCTCGTAAACAATTTAGAGGCCATTAATTCGATACTTTTTTGGAAATACCAGGTATGAAAGAAGTATCTAGAACAATATCGTTTAAAATAGATACTAAAAAGAAGCCGCATCAAAAGCTTGTAGCGATGAAAGATACCACTTCACTTTGGTACACCGTTTAGTTTTACATGGGCAAGGGTTGACAACGCCAATCAGAATAGCTTAACTTTGAAGTTCATGGTGACGCCCATTTTCATATATCGAGTTAGGAGAAAGACAAAGAAAAGATAGAAAATTTCTTCACTTACTGCCTACAAATTCCCTTTCAGGTATAGTAATGCAATAGGCTTAATATATAATATAATACATATGTAATAGGTAAGAATCGCGACTACCGTGGACGTTGACAGTATTCGTGGACATCGTGCCAATCGCTAGTGCGGTAGGTTTTACTTTGGTTATCGCTACACTGAGTGTTCAATCGGCAAAGGCACAACCGATAACACCCACTAGGCTAAGGCCTTTTTTTTTTATTAGTCGTTGAGGTCGTCTGACGAGATGACTGATGAAATAACTAAAGCTTTCAGGTGACTTTTTCGCTTTTTGCTATCAAGAGAGCTTTAATAGGGAACGGACGGAGGAACGGACTGTGCCGATTTTCGAATACTTGTACGTTACCATGAACTATGTTATTTCATAACTTAAGGAAAACGGAAAATACTTTTTTGCCAATTTCATCTCTTTCATTTGACTAATGATGATGGTGGCGATGATGATGATGACAATGATGATCGATTTGCTTACATTCATATTCCTTTGTTAGTTTGGCGGCAAAACAACTTATTGCCAGTGAGTTAATATTGTCAATTGCACCTTTAATTCGATTCAATTAGAATCAATTATTTATTTATTGTATTTTATTCGTTTATTTATTTATTTATTTACTTTTTTATGCAATTTTCCAGTTTCTCTTTAGCTTTGACATAATTAAAGCTAAAGAAAGATTGTGCCCGTTATATGCGTGACGATGAGTATGACGATGACGATGAGTATGACAATAATGACGATAATAGTATCGATGATGGTAGGAAATTATGAAAAGAAACTTTTAAACCAACATTCAGTACAACATTATTACATTAAGATTAATGTAAAATCATATATAAATGTGTATATGTATGCACGCATGCATGCATCCGAAGTCTGCCAAGTTTAAGTGATTGAGTACATTCAAATTTTTTTTTTTATTATTTTTTTTTTTATATCTTTCTTTCATCTTTTTATGCCATGCATACTATACTATGCGCGTATCTTTACATTAATGATTATGTACTCAATTGCATTTGTACATATGAGTTTATATATACATATATATTACGTGTATATATATTTATGTGTATCGTGCTTGCATTTATACAAATTGATTAAATTGTCCTCAAACAAATCAATTGCTTTAAATTAATTTTATATTCACTGTTGTCTTTTTTTTTTGTTTTTTGTTTTTTTTGTTTCTTCCATTCTTGCTTTTTGCTACATTTGCACCGTACTTGCATTCCGTTCTTGCGGTTTTACAATTCGTATATGCAGCAGCTATTTATATTCGCTTGAATTTGTGTGAAAAAGGAGATTGAGATGGAGTTGAGCACAACTCTTTCTCCACTAGCAAAGAACGGCAATTTATTGCTTACCGCTATTTAAGTGCAGTAGTAGTACTGACATTTAAAAGTTCGAAGAAAGCATTTCTTTTTAAAACCTCTCAAGTATTTGTTCTATTTGTATTAATAGGTTTTTAAACTTTTAAAAACTTAATAATTTTTAAAAGAATAAAAAAAGCTGAATGGCTCCCGAATTCTGCCATCAATAAATGTGGGAGCCCATAATTCCCTTAATTTTATAATTGAAGCATTTGCGATCGATATATAATAATTTTAAAAACATAGAATTTAAATATACTACACAAGTTACGTCGTTTGCAGAAGGAAATTTACAATACCATCAACAACACTACTCTTGCATTAACCCTCATTCAAACATTTTCGAGAATTCGTCTTGGTCATACTATCGCAACTCACCAATGCATCTTGAAGAAGTCTTCCTCCCCAATCTTCAGTTGTGGACAAACTCTAACTATAAAGCACATTCTCTGCGACTGCTTTAAGTTTTCCTTGGCTAGAAGTATTGCATTTGGAGCGACTAACCCTTTGGACATTCGAAAATCAGCTTCAGAACCGAATATAAACTCTATATTACTTTATTAATACTACTAAGCTCATTGTCTAATGTACATTTATTTATATTAGACCCGATAGCCTGTGCTGCTACTGCTCAATGTCTTTTTTTTTTTAGTCTAAGGATTTATTTCATTAGTCTAAAATTATAATAATAATAATAATAAGACGTCGTTTGCTGGGTTCAGCCAAGGCTATTAAATAACGAATAATTTTCCTCTTTCCGAGATTACCTTGTTTGAAAATTTTCCTATAATCGTAAAAAGTAAAGTTCGGATTTCAGTGTGATCAGTTCCAATTTTCGACCTTAGTTATGAAAAAGCCATACATACGTAAGGCGTATTTGCTTCTTTTGAAGTTACATAAACTGTTTTTAGATTTCTTGTACTGTTTCAAATCTTGCCTTCGAGGAACTTGTCTTGATTGCATTCATATACACACTTACAGCACATATTATTTGATTCCGCGATTCTTAATAAGTAAAAGGACGCCATTTACAAAAAAAAAAAATTTCGACCACTTAGGTCCTTCTATTACCGCAGGTGCGCCAAAAGGGCGAAGCAGTGAGTCGCGTTATTTTGAAACTGTTGGATGAGCAAGGCCCATCAAAAATTTCATTATCCTAAACTCTTGGGGGCGACAAGTGACGGCACGAGACACCTCTCAGCTGCCAGGACAGAGACATTCCGGGAGTAGTAAAATTACGAGTAGTTATTCCGCATGACCATTCCACGAGCATCTGATACTCATCTCTCAGATCATACGTTCTGGGGCTCCGTTCAGTTTTTCTCTGTACATTTGTAGCTTGCAAGATGAATAACCGCCGCTGATGTTGCTCTCAGTCACACTACTACCTCAGGGGATCCCTAAGAACTTACGCGGATCTATTGAAACTGAATAGATCTCGGAATTCCACAATTAGTTAGAGAGATAGAAAAAAATTTTAACAAATTCCTTTCGATGAATTCTCTATGAAGAGTTTCCATTCCTAGAGAAGTCATCAAAAAAGGTTACCCAAAAGTGTTTGCAAACTATCTTATAATTTGATCAATAATTTGTCTTACATCAGGGGAATTTTAAGTGACCTGGCATCGAAGTACGGTATGTCACATTGCCTCGATAATTGAGTAAGTTAATGTCTTCTGATGATATCAGATCGGCATATACAGATAACAAAATTCCTGTGAAATTAAGTAGTGATCATCTCTGTCATAAGAAATGACACTACCATTTAGTTTGTAGCATCTATTACGGAAATGCTTGAGCTTATGTTTAAAATCGAGAAGGCTTAAAGGAACAAGTCGAACAATTATTATCCCAGTATACAGGTGTAACTGGAAGCATTGCATGGGAGCAAGTTTTTACTGAATCGTAATGGAAATTATCAGATGAGATTTTGAGAGAGTATTAATCGAAATATATGTACACGTTTTAATTATATATTGTCGGCGAAAGAAAATAAAGTGCATCTTTACTTTCCACAACAACTATCCACATAACCACAAAAGGGCCCATCAATTGTGTCGAGACATTTAAGAAAGCTTTGAATCATAAACAAGCTAACACTTCATATATGGCCTCAGTGTGATTATATAGCGTAACAAAATTACTAATGTCTTTCTTACTTCATCCTAAACTAGTGGGGATTATACGTTATCTCAACTATCTAACTCAAATTGATTGAAAGCTTCTTTTTTTAATGCATCCTTCTGGATGTTACATGTGATAACAATATCTCACATTTCATGAATGAATGTAGAAATCAATCGGGAAAAGGAAGCATTACATGCAACATAAGTTTAAATAGCTTTAGCAAAATTCCCATTTACATGAAAAGCACTGTATATAGATCGGAGATGATATTAAATAAATGCTTAAAATTCCCTGAAGGGCTTGATATG